AGGTGTATTGGGATCTTAGATTCGTTAGACTCCCTCGTCCCCTAAGGTCACTTGCTTATCTAGATCGAGCTTTGCTCGGTCGCCGCCGTGTATTTCTCTTCATTCGGTAATTCTCGCAGTTCGTGAATTAACCTCTATTTTACTCCAGCTCGAAATACAGACGTCAAAGATACTTTACTCGTTTTCTTCCTTCGTCCAGATATAGAGAGCAGGCAAACTACGCTAGAAGTGGGAGATTCAGCAGAAGCTAGGATCCCTTCAGTGGTATCAGAGTAGTCCCGTTGGAGAAAAGGTAAATTTTCCGCCATCGACAACCGAAGTTTCGCAACTTGGACGCTGATTGGCCGTCAGCGGAGTCGAGGGGAACCGAATCACCAACCGCCACCGCGCCGCCGGAGAAACTCCACTCAGAGAATTTTCCGCGCCGCACCACACCAACACCACCCCGAGCGAGCGCCACCACACGAGCGCCACCACGACCCACGCGCCGAAAGTCGCGCCCACGCAACCACGCACGCACGCCGGGGAAAACCTAAAATACTCAGAAAAACAGAATTCTTTCGCCACTTTTCACCAAAAATCGAGAGAAGTTTACGAAGAATCGACCCTTGGACCAGACCTTGAAATTTCGACAATCGCTGGACAGAGAAATCGTCGGGCGTTTGCGCAAAAAGGCACCTCAGCTCATCATATTGCGACTTTTAGTCGCAGTATTTTCTGAGGGCCTGAAAGGTAATCCAAGGCCCATAAACCCTTACTGCCGATATATTTCGAGCTATGGCGGCGAACAAATCACTGCTAGAAACCGTCACCGAAATAAGAAGCATAAACGATCGAGTAAACTACCTCGAAGAACAAGTGCGAAATGACGAATCACTTAAGCCAAGCCTAGAGCCCTTGATCACAGAAAGCAGAGTAAAATTAGAACAGCTCAGTACAACGCTTCTTACCTGCGAGCTCGATCAAGGAAAAGAATCTACGAATGCTACAATGAGAGAAGAAGCATGGGTGGCCACTACCTGGTCTCGTCACGTCCAAGACTTGCCGAAGCTGGACGCCGCATGCAACACATCTTTCAACACCTTCTTGGGCAGAGCCGACATTTATCACCGCGCCTACGTCCGCGACAGACCTTCACGTGAACAGCCTTTCATCGCAGCAGTGTACAGCCACTTCGACTTGAACATCGAACGCTCACTTGGAACCGAATTTCTGAATTGTCAAGACTGGAAATCGGCCAAGGCGCTGCTAGAGAAATCATTCGCCGCGAAGAGTCACTACTTACTGAAGCTAAGCGAAGTTTTCGACGTCGAATACGACCATTCGAAGCCGTTTGCACACTACACCGCCAACGTCTTGCAAAAGATGAACGAGGCGAAGCAAGCGACTTTGAACTCTTACCGACAAGAGAAGTCAGCCGACGCCGGGGTCGATGAAATATTCGACATATTCTCGACGATGATGCTGTACTTGAATCTTAGGAAAGAAGAACCAGACGTTTTCAACGCAATCCTTCCAAGCCTATCAAAAGTTTACGATATCAACGAACTCTGCCGTCTCGCCCAATCCACAAGACAGAATCGAGTTGACAGCGCGACCGTCTCCCAGCACTTCAACAGAAATAAGAACAAAAAGAAGAAGAATGCTAAGCGCGCCAGCACCGATTCTAAGGATGGGAAAGACGATAAACAACCAGAATCCAAGAAGATTAATACGACTAAGAACGTCGAAGATTTCCAACCATTCGATGTTCACTTTTACACAGTGAAGAAGAAGCGACCAGGAAAGGCTTATTTCGCTTCGGCTACCATCATTACGGGCTCTAAAAGTTTTGACGTATCGATGGAAGTCGACAGCGGAGCCGAGTCCTCCTGTCTGTCCGCTGCTTACGTTCCCGACAAATTTCTCCAGATGCTGAAGCCCTGCCCCTTCAAGGTCACCGGTTTCAGCCCAAATATTCCCGCCGAGCAGCCGATGGGTATCCTTCCCTGCCGCTTATCATTCAATGGTGGCCCTGCATTCTCCCTGAATCTCACCATTATGCCAGGCAGTAAATACCCAAGTCTACTGGGCCGCGATATACTAGAGAATGCGATGACGGACAGCTTCACAGTCGACAATAAGAATCGTACTCTCTCATTTTGCTACAACGAAGCCTTCACACAAACTGAGACTCAAGTGGTGAAGCTGGACGGAGTGAAGCGGACCAAAATCAAGAAATACTTGACTACTAGATCAGCGGTCAAGGATAGCGATCGATCCCGCACTCAACCGCCACCAAAAGTCCCAAAGCTGGACGCACCTAACAAGAACGCAGCCAGGTGCCCCATTCAGCTAGCGAAGCAAAAACTCGGAATTACCCTACCAGCAAACGCCGACCCGGGGCAAAAGAAGGTGGTCGCCGAGCTGTGTTTGGAATTCGACGACAGATTCGGCTGCGACGGTCAAAAATGGGTGAATTCCCGTTCGAGATCGAAATCCCGACTGATGGTACGAGTCGAAACATCAGTCAACACCCGATTCCGCAAGCTTTTCATGGTCAGGTCAGCGATCACATCTCCGAACTGCTCGAAACGAAAATAATAGAAGAGATCAAAGACCAGAAAGGGTTTAACAGCCCGGTATTGCCTATTCCTAAGAAATCTGGGGAAATGCGCTTCTGCATCAACTACAAAAACAGCCTGAACAAATGCCTCTCCGACAAATCCGACCCTTACCATCTCCCAAGCATGGAGGATACGATTGCGAACATTGGACCGGGCAATAAGTTTTCGCCACAGTTGATCTACGAAGTGGATATTGGCAGTGCCCTGTAAAGAAAAGCGACAGGTACAAGACTTCCTTCCAGTGGGGTGGGAAATCTTACGCCTTCTGCAGACTACCATTCGGTTATCGATGCTCGGGGAATATATTCTCGCGCGTCGTAAACACAATTCTCGACTCAAGCCCCACCAGGAAAAAGATGCTTTCTTATATCGATGACATAGTGTGTTTTGGGAAGACTTTCAGCTGCTATTACAACACTCTCCGAAACCTATTCATCGCGCTCCGCAAGTTTAACGCTAAACTCAAGGGCGAAAAGTGCTCTTTCCTACAATCCGAAGCTCACTTTTTTGGGCCGAATCATCAACGAAGATGGAATCAAACCGGACCCTGCGCAAGTCTCCGCTCTTCGTCAGATGAAACCCCCACGCTCCCAAAAGGAGTTAGCTTCATTAATCGGGTCATTGAATTGGATCCGAGGTTTTCTAGAAACGAAAATGGGCGAAGCTATTTCATCCGGTTGCTTCTCGAGCAGAATGAAGCCCATAAACGATGTTCGAAATTCGGCGAACGAAACAAATTGTTTCAAGTGGACCAAAGAAGCGGATTTGGCGCTCAAGGAAATTCAACGACGACTCTCCGAGACTCCAGTCATAAGTTTTCCTAACTTTGACGAGTCTTTTCATCTCTACACAGACGCGAGCCTGTACGCAGCGGGTGGCGTCCTGCTACAAGAGTATGGCGGGAGAGTGCACCTAGTAAGCGCGATTTCCCACACCTTCAACAAAGCTGAAAGAAAATGGAACACTTCAGAAAAGGAAATGTTTAGCATTGTCTGGTGCTGCGAGCGACTGGAAAAGCTCCTGAAAGGTAGATTCTTTCAGATTCACACAGACCACCGATCTTTGATCTTCCTACACAAAAAGAAGTTCAAGAATTCTAAAATAAGCCGATGGCAAAGCCGATTGGAAGAATTCGATTTTCACATTGTCTACATCAAGGGATCAGAAAATCAATTCGCCGACTTTATGAGCCGCAGACCTGGCGAGGACGACAAATCACTTGGATACGACTCTGAGTTTCCCGTTGGTCGCGAGTACGAAATCGACAAGAATTCACCAGTACGTGTCTTCGTCCCTTTCTGGAACGAAAATCAGTTTCCGGAGAAAATCACTTTATCAGAGGTGAAGATACATAAGGTAAACGTCAAGGCTATCGCGGCGCCAATGGAGATTCCGTTGGTGTCAGCGAATTATAATAACATTCTGGACTATCAAAGGGAGGACTCTGCTCTGAGTGCAATCATCACTTTTCTGGAATCTGGTAAGGAGCCACTGGACATAAAATCGCTGGTGAAGGACTCCGACCACCGACAATCGTCTCTACTCAAGATGGAAAAAGCTCTGTTCCTGGATAACACTACCGGGTGCTTGATGTGTCAATTCAAATCTGGCGCGCGGGCGGTGGTACCGGAAGCGGTAAAAGTCACTTTCTCTTTCTAGCTCACGACTTGTCCGGTCATCTGGGCGAGCCGCGGACTTTAGAGCGATTAGAGGACGTTTGGTGGCCTTCATTTCAAGACGATGTTTCTAACTACGTCCACAGCTGCGTCCCTTGCCTACGCAGAAAAGGATCTGCTGGAACTCGTACCAAACCGCCACTTGGAACCCTTCGTCGTGGAAAAACAGCTGGCGAATCGATTCAGATCGATTTCGCTTGTATGCCTCCCGCTGGCGGATTCAAGTATTATTTGGTGGTGGCGGACACTTTCTCTCGCTACACTTGGTGCATTCCGACGCGGTCCGACACTGCTATCTGCGCTGCAAAAGCGCTCATCTACAAGGTCTTCCTTCCCATGGATTTCTTGCCGAAACATCTACACAGTGACAGAGGTACCCACTTCTGCGCAAGCGTGATTGACGAAATGTGTAAGCTTAACCAGATAAAACATACAATAAGTACCGCATTTCACCCTCAATCAAACGCTTTCGCAGAAAGAGCGAATCGGACTATCAAAAACAGTCTATTCTGCATGGTCAACTCATCTTCCGGTCGAAAAACTTGGGCCGACTGCGTTCCCCACGTGATGCGCGCGCTCAATAGTGTGAAAAACAAAAGCACGAAAATTTCACCGCGAGAAGTTTGGTTTGGCCGAAAAAGTACTTTCACCCACTCTACTGGCGCAGAAATGACAGCGGAAACACCTCAGGTGTTTGGTCTCAATGTGGGAGCTTTAGCGAAATCGGCGGAAGCCATTGTGAAAACTGCGATGGAAGCTGCTGACCGAGCCATGGAGCACAGGCTGAAAAACGAGCCTAAGCCGAGACCAATCCCCGCTGGCGCTGTCGTGTACATTAAGCGAGAAAACCTGACCGACGCTAAAAGCAAGAAGGAACGCTGGGTAGGTCCCCTGAAAGCCGTTTCGAGCAACGACTGGGTCGTCATGGTCGAAGATAAAAAAGGACAACGTGATTTCATCCATCGAGAACACGTGGTTCACGCCGCAGAACGAAATCACGACTTACGCTGGATTGATTACTACGAGGCCGAGTACGTATTCCCACATTTAACCGAAATCGTTAAGTCGAAAGTCCCACAAAAATCGCCTGTTCCTACTTCCAAACCGATGGAAAAGTCCGGGTCGAAGTCGCATGGGGGGAGGAAATCTTCTCAGGTCGCGTCGACTCCGATGGTTGCTATGGAAAAACCGCCAAGATCATCTCTATCACCTATTTTGGAAAGTAGACGCCGATTGGACATGGAAAATCTGGGAGATACAACCGCTACATCTATTTTGGACTCGTCGGTAGCTCCAGCCGAGCCGTCAGATCGCTGGTACTCTGGTGGTACTCTTTATGAAACTGCCGAGGACATGTCAGCTGATGCTACAGTGATTTCGGAGGTTGCTGCGCCCGACAATAGCCATATGTCAGTCGATAAACATAATTCAACAGTAGTTGAGGGCTCAGCAACTGAAAACAGCAAGAAAAGAACCCGTCCAAAGTCTTCACCAGATCGTCAATACTCAGCCGGCGCCGATCCGAATGCGACTTTAACCGAAGTTGGAGCAGCTCATCTCCCGAAACATACAAAACGAGCACACCGTGAAACGAGGCCCGTCGAACCTCTAAACATCGGCACAAACTCGGGTCAGTCATACGACTAAGCGCAAGTACTGCCCCACTCAGGTCCCCTATTCATCGACCGGGGCCTGAAAAGGTACGGAAATTATCACAGTTTACCGTCGCCGACGTATTTTGAGTTCTTCTACATGTGCAGCTACTCCTTCATGTCATCACCGCTCGGACATCACGAAAACTTCGCATCTGATTCAAGCTTTTTCCCAAAAAAGGGTTTTTTAACGCGAATCAGACTGCCTCGACGTTTCGAACCTGCCATGTTACTCATCTTACGCTTATACTCCTGCAAAAATCACACACTTTGGCCTTAGAGGACGTTTCAGTCTCATGGGGGGGTATTGGGATCTTAGATTCGTTAGACTCCCTCGTCCCCTAAGGTCACTTGCTTATCTAGATCGAGCTTTGCTCGGTCGCCGCCGTGTATTTCTCTTCATTCGGTAATTCTCGCAGTTCGTGAATTAACCTCTATTTTACTCCAGCTCGAAATACAGACGTCAAAGATACTTTACTCGTTTTCTTCCTTCGTCCAGATATAGAGAGCAGGCAAACTACGCTAGAAGTGGGAGATTCAGCAGAAGCTAGGATCCCTTCAGGTGCTTGTTTTGGTCAACAAGTAATTGTTAAAAAATATGAATTTCTTTTGACCACTTGCCCAAATGACAAAGCACGACTGCCTTCATCCAGACGATATTGAAGAGAACCAACTGTTGTCCAAGCATCATTTCAAAGCAAATCGATACGTTGAAGCTCATTTCCGTCTGAATTTATCCCGCCAAGAACTAAAACTCCATTCTCGACCTCCATACATGTATGACTTCGGCGAGCACTTATTTTTTGATAAACAGATTTCTTGCTATAGAAATGAATTACATTGGATGTTGATAAGCAGTACTAGTCCAGGTTAGATCGCCATCAAGTTGTTCAACTATCTTATTTGTTATAGATTTTGAAGTTTGACTTCCACCGACTACCAGCGGCAAATTTTTATATTTGATAAGACATGATCCTATTCAGGAGTTCTTTCTTTTTAATATTTTACAATTGAAGAAATTCTTCATTATGAATGAACCCTTTATTTTATGATTGGCGTTTGTCATCGCGCTGAAGGTCGAAACAGAAGCACCGTCGAAAAACTCGCAAGTCTTGGTGTCATCAGAGAAACAGACTAAGACTCCAGACTCGTCCTTATGAACAATTCCCGATGATTTGTTATCAGCTGCAAGGGTGAGTCGAATCGACAACTCGGAGAGCTCGCAGCAGCTCAATTTCGCAATCTCTTATTTATGAAGTTGTTTTATTGAAAAATCTTCACCTTATAATAATCCAATGATCCCCCAAAGACGTAGCTTTCATCTTTCCACAGAATATGAAAAACTTTTTCAAAGTAATAATCGGTCGGCGCTGAAATACTTTGAGTTGTTTTCGTCGACCCATCAGTCGAGAGAACATAATTTAGTCTAGCGGTTGCATCTTTATCAGCAAGAATAAATATTGATTGCGATTTCAGTAAGCTCTGTAGTCTTTGAAACGAACAGGTTTGTGAAATTTTTATCAAAACTAGGCTCTCTCAGATTAAAACAAGTCTCGTTCAATGATAAAACTGCATCGTTCTCTTTGCAATTCAGGTCAAATAAAACACAGCTATCTGCTCTTGAAAAGCGTAAAATTATCCAAAAAATAATGCTCAACATTGATCACTGTCTACGAATAATAATGAGGCAGAAACTGCATCTTGTTGCATTTTTACGATGTCTAATGATCATATGAAGACCTGCATAAATAATTTCGTCTGACACTTGCTTTCTTCCTGACGGTAATAAACCCCTCGAAAGTTAAATTGTTGAACAATGAAGTGTGTATTTACAAAGAACATGTGTGGGGATTTTTTCAGTTTAAGCTTTGTCGTGAATTCCTTCGATCATCTTGATCTTCTCTTGAATCAAAATTTCCAGTTCCTCCGCGAGTTGTTTTTCTCCAGCTTTTGAAGCAAGAGCTTTTCCTTTTCGAAGCTGCTCTAGTTCGAGATTGGTTTCTCCTTCGAGTTCAGTTAGATGATCACGGTGACGAGATTTGGTTGCTTTTGTCGGCTGACCATTTTGCATAATTGCCCTAGAAAAATTGAATTCAAGGTGAAAAAATCAAAAATATTACCTTGACGGTTGTTCAGCGACAGCAAGCTCTTTCTTTCGGTCGTATCTTAGATTGACAATTCCATCCTTGATCGGCTGGTAGCTCAAAGCAGGACCATAGACTCGTGATTCCAGAAGATCGTGATCCGCGGCGGCACGTGAATGATCCATGGATGTCGTCTTGGCAGATAGATGCAGCAAGATTCGGATAGTTTCAAAGAAAGCGGAAAGGAAACCGAGGTCGGAATCGTTCGTAAACTCGTTCACTTTCAAATGCGCGGCAAAATGCGCGATGAGAAGAGCAAGTTGGCCTGGTTCTCTCATTCTTGAAACGTGGATGTATCCGAGGTTGGCTCTAGAATCGAAGAAATAGGAGTTTCTGAAGACATTATGGCTGTAATTTGTATGTGGAAGCGTTTCAGCGATCAGAAGCGTCGGAATCTGAGCGTTGACACGGGAGCAAAGTTCGTCCATAAGTCTCGTTGCCATTTCGAAATTGGGCTTGAGCTCTTCAGGGCACTTTTCAATGACGCTCAATTCTCCATTTGTTGGATTTTCGATGTCGAAGACGTCGATAAACGGCATTCCGATTGAGCCTTTCACCGGTTTATTTGCATCTAGCGTCATTTGCTCGGCAATTCGCTTTTCAAACTCTTGAATGCTCTTCATAACAGGCAACTCTTTCAAAATCGCGAGAGGGTTCGCTGCATACTCGCTGACGTCAAGCTGTAGAACTTGCTCACGAAGCTCTTCTTCTGTAGGAAGAGAAAAGTCAAGTTGGTTGAGATCGGATAACTCGGCTTCAAGCTGTGCTTTCTGGGCATTTTTGACTTGTCGAGCTCGGAGACGCTCTTCGATTTGTTTTCGATGAGCAGCGTGTCGGTTGGCGTACTTGGCGTTGAGAATGTCTTTCTGAGCATTGAGATCGGCCATAAGCTGATCAACGTCTTCGTCAGAAGCGGCTAAATTATCAGATTAATAAAGGTGGAAATATAATATGAAAACTACCTTCTCGGATCTTTGATTGAGTTTTCTGCTCAAGTCGCTTTTCCTCCATCGCTTTTCGTTTTTCTAATTTTGCGCGTTCCGCAGCAGCTTCTTCTTGCGCCTTTTTCGCCATTTCTTCGTCCTTTCTGCGTTGCTCCGCCTCAAGCTGTTCGAGCCGTCTGAGCTTTTCTTTCTTCTGCCGTTCGATCTCAAGAGCCATTGCCTTTGCTGCTTCCTCTCTTGAGGCTTTTTCCATTTCAGCTTTTTGCTGCGCTTTTCGTTCTGCATCAAGTTTCATTGCATACTCAGGTGATAGTTTTTCTAGCGCATCTTGAACCTCCTTCATTTGCCGTTCTTTCAGTTCATTTTTGCGTCTAATCAGCTCAAGTTGATCTTCTGGTGTCATCTTTGCTGCTTCTGCAAGAAGCCGTTCAGTTTCAGCGTCGAATTTAGCCAGTTCTTCTGGATCAGTTATGTTTTCGCGAAGTTTCATGCGCTCTTCTCTAATTTTGTTCTGTTTCTCAAGTTTTGCCATTTCTTGGTCTCTGAAAAATGCTTGTTCTAAATCTTCCATTTCTCGTGCGTGTCGTTTTGCCATTATACGATAAACTTCTGCTGGATCTGCTGCACCGCCGGCAATGTTCGCAAACTCTTCATTTTCTCGAGCAAGATCTTCTTCGCGTTTTTTTTTTGCGGCAGCTTCAGCGGCTCGTTTCGCAGCTTTCAGCGCAGCGAGGTCTTTCATTCGTTTTCGGAGAGCTTCCCGCTCTTGTTGTTTTTTGAGAGCTTCAGCGTCGTATTGGTCTTGAGCTTTTCTGAGGTGTTCTTGCATCAATCGCTCTGCATCAGAAGGATCGAGGTTTTCCTCTTCAGCTTGTTTTTAGCCTCTTCTTCTGCCGATTTGAGCATATTTTCCTTCAGTTCATCTCTCATTTCAGAGTCTTCCTGTTTTTCATCGGTTTCAGATGCATCGTCAGACAGATGAATATCATCAAGAATTTTATCCGCTTCGGAAATACTCATTCCACGCTCCACCAGACCTCGTCTTTGCGCCAGCCTATCTCGGAGACGATCTTTTTGTCTCTGTCTAGCAGCATCAGCATTTTCTCGAGCTCTTCGCCGAGCTTCTTCAAGTTCACGGATGAGTTTATCTTTTTCAGCTCGGGAGAGGTCGTCGTTGTCTTCAATTGACCGTTGCATTTGCTTGAAAATTTCAATTTCCGCGATGTTTTGAGCCAGATCGTTGATTTCCGACTGATGAATATCAATTGAGTCCGTAACGAGCTCAATTTCTGAAGCTTCAAGGTTCGCACTTGCCATAAGATCGGAGAACATGTCGTCGAGATCGTCATCCTTGAGACCTGCTTGCTGGAAGAATGGCGCGATTTCTCGACGGAAAATGTCTTCCCAAAGACTGTCGTCGATCTTAGACAAATGTTCGATTTTGTCTCGCGACATTTCATGGATCGCTTTGTGCCGTGCGGCCATTTCGTCGACGTAATCGTCCACTTCCTGCTCAGTTAAAAGATTCGACAGACCAGCTTTGTCCAGCTCGCTTCGATGATCATTTTCGAATTTTCTGACCTTGAGTTTTCCTTCCCGCTTAGCCTCATCAACAATTCTAGCGGCTGCGATTGCTTTTGCTCTTTCGTTTTCCGCAATGATTCGTTTTGCTTGATCGTTGAACTGCCTGAAGCTTTCTTTGCGTGAATTTTGATCCGATGGAATAGTGGACAAAACTTCTCTTCGTAGCTGTTCTAGTTCATCGCTCGCTTTTTTGTCGTACATTTCGTATGCTTCGTCTAATTTGTTGCCGTATTCCGCGTCAAGCATGTGTTTAAGAGCGTATTTATTCTTTTCGACCATTTGGAAGATATCATCAGATGAAGATCCTTCGAGATTCTTACCACCTCCTTCAACAGCGATCTTGTCAGTATGGAACAAGCCATATTTACTGTTAGGTTCGAGAATCGTCATCATTTCTTTTAACTTTTCAAGGAACTTTTCTCCGCGATCATCTCGTTTCTTTCGAAGACGGATATTCATATCGGCATTGATGACTGAAGAAGACTCGTAGATTGTTCCGCGAACAAGATCTTTGGCGATATTTGCGTTGACCTTTGCCATATCTTCGATGTATCCAAGAAGATTCAGCTGAAGAAGAACGTAGTGCAATTTGATATCAATTTGCTCGACAAATTCAGAGAAAACTCGAGCTTGGGCAAGCTCGTGTCGTCGCTCAAGCATAGCTAGTTGATTCATATCTTCAGTCCCAACAATATCAGCAAGGCGGTCTTGATAGTTTTGCTCTTCATCTTCAACTTTTTCGATGTAGTTGAAAAGTTTTCTATCCAGTCGATCGAGAGCGCTAGTTGCGTCTTCCAAGATTTTCTTTTCTATTTGATCGGAATCGGTCAAAACGCTTACGACGCTGCTTGAAACGGAGTTTTCCAGCTGCATAATTTTATTCTTTCTGCGTTTTTCTTCAATTTCGAGTAGTCTTCTGAGATCTTTCGCTGTCTCCTTAATTTGCTGAGAGTAGTACTTGATGTCATCTTTGTCCAGCTTGAGGTTGACCAGATCATTTCTTATCGGAGTATTCTTATCAGCCAAGTCGACAGCAGTCTTGTCAGCAATGAGCTTTACTTTTTGATAAAATTCATTCTAGCGCCGTATTCAAGTTCAAAGGCGTTAACGTAATTTGGAGTGTGTCTTGGTAAGAATGGTCCGACTTGGATGACTTCCTCGACCACCTTCAACTTGTTGGACCATTTCAAACCAGTAACGTAACCTGATTGTCCAGACTTGTTCTTAGTTTCTGTTCCAATAGTTACTGGCTCGCCAGATTTAGAAAGATAAAGAGGAATGTCTTTCTCGTTTTCGTAATCGTAATGAATATTTAGAATCGGACAATCATTGACCTTCCAGCCGTGAATAACAGGAAGAAGCTTTCCGGTGTCCTTAAATTCCATGTATCCGATAACTCCGCCGAATCTTCCCAAATTCGTAAAATTACGCCATTGAGAGTCAAGAAGAGATAGTTTCGTCTGGGCATATTCCATTTGGCTTTGAACTGCTGAATTGATTCTATCAATAAGACTCTTGATTTCGCCAAGACTTGGATCTTCTTTTTCAAGCTCGTCGAGAAGAAGCTCAAATAAATGAATTTTTCTTTCGGCGATGAAATCTTGGTGATCTTTGGTTTCGAACAGATAGAGTTGTCGCTGATCATCTTGATGATCTGTCATTCCGTACGGCTCTTGCGGAACAAGAAGGCCAGTGACAGCAGATGTTGTAGATTTGCCGACGGGAACGCAGCTTTTATCAACAATTTTCGCAGCCATGATTGGAACAGTAAGACCAGTAGTACTGTCGATTACGCTCTTCCAAAGTCGGAAATTTGCTGGACTCTGAACTTTGACAGTCTGAAGAGCTTTATCGGAAGAATCGAAGGGTATCAACAGACAGTTCGAAACATCTGCAGTGATTTCGTCGAAAACAAGAAGTCTGAGGCGGCCTGGATCGAGAAGAACATTTCCACGAATTGGGAAAATTCTGCCAGTAGCTGGTGAGATGCAGTGATCTTCTGTTATTGTGATAATAACGTCCGTTTTGAGGCATTTTGCGCTCGATCCTGTGGCTGGAATGAGAAGTCCAGTCGATGCATCTTGAGAGATAAGATCAGACCTGAGCAGTTTGCCATCAGAACCGAAAAGTTCTTCGCGACTGTATGTATCTTCGTTATTTCCACCTTTCATTAATTTGAAATCGGATGTAAGCAAATCGCGCTGCTGGGACTCGATTTGACCACGCATTTTCGAAGATATCTCGTCTTTTCTGGTCTCCGACGTTGATGCCATGAGCTCAGTAGCAAGTGCCATGAAATTTGCATCAAATTCAGCGTCAGCTTTCAGTTTCTTACGCTCTGCTGTTGAAAGCGCCTTGAGTTGAGCAGCATTCGCTTCACCAATTGCTTTTCTGCGGGCGATTTCTCGCATGATCTCGGACTCAGTTCTTGAAAATTCGTCGAGATCATCTTGACTTATGCCCTGGTTGTCATTATTCTTCATCTTGTTAAGTCGATTCTTCCAGATTCTCTTGAGTGATTCTGTCTCTGCTTCTGTCTGAGCATAGGCGAGGTCAGCATTGGCAGCCTGGTCATCAAGTTCGATCTTTGCACGGTGCACTTCAGTGTCAATTAGACTGAAAACATTGTCAGCACGGAAGTCCTCGACCTTCTTTTGCTCTTTGTAATCAAAGAGTTCGTCTTCTGGAAGCTCATCTTCTTTTACAACTCCGATTTTTGCAGAAGGATGAAGTTTGTGTTCCATCTTTGTGTCGGCCTGGCGGCTGTGGTAGCCAAAGAGGTTCATTCCAAGATTGAAACGATGGTACCAAGTATCGGTGTAAACGGTCTGGTACCAACCATATCTGTCGGTAAGCCAATAGATAAATAGGCAGAGGAGAATAATAAAGAGAAGAAGACCGATGAAAGAGAAAATAAATATCCAATCGGGCTCGAGTAACAATTGCTGATTCTGCTCAACATTCGCTTGGTTCAATGATCTTGGACTCGCAGAAAAGAATGGGCCTGTGCTAAAGCATGTGCCTTCCTCTTCCATAACTTGGATGTAAATATGACGGGCAGGTTCATTTCTACCAAGGCGAATTGAAAACACCGGGGCTTCTGAACTGATAAAAGAAAGGAGTCGGCTCTGTAACGGACTGTAGATCTTCTTCGAGCTGTAAGAATGCGCCATTGTCGAAGTCTCCTTCATTGAAGAGGATTGTATCATCATAAACAGGGAAGTTGTTTTGATCAACCATGAACATGACAACTTGATTTAGCTCGAAACAAACGACTGGTTGTTCAATAATTGATGCTCCAAGTCCTTCTCGAGGGGCAATTTGATCAGCTTGTCTTCGTTTTCGTCGAGATGGAATGAGTAAATCAGCAAGTTCAGAAGGATCAGGGTTGTACAAACCTAAGAACTGCTCATTCTCCATCGAAACGATAAAAATTGACTGATCTGATTCTTCACTGTTTTCGCATACGACAGATTCGATATTCAGACCACCGATATCTGTTTCGATTCCGTCGATAACAAATGTCGGTTCATCTCCATCAAGCGGATCTGGACACTTAAACTTGAAAATTTCTTCATTTGCTCTTCTGCAGTTGATATCACAGGTTTCGTCGAGAGGACTAACTTTGCATTCACAGATTCCAAGCTGAGTATTGACGCCGACAAAAGTACCGGCCGGACACCCGGAATTTCTGCAATCTTCTTCAAGTGCATCTTCTGTGAGGCATTTACCATCTGACTTTCGGAACTGATCGGAAGCGCAGATTTCATAAATTACTCGTCGACAATCACCTTCCTCGCCATCTTCTTCGGAAGCTTTATAGCCTGTTCGACATGGGCAGTTTCCACTTGATGGTTGGAACACGCGGTTTTTGCCATAGCACTGGCATTTGTTCATTCCTTCTTGTTTTTGTTCAGCAAGATCCCCACAAGGAGAACATTCAAAGGATCTTTCATAATTTGAAAATGTATTCACAGGGCAAAGCTCGCAAACTTCTTCGAATTCTAAACCGAGATTGTCAGTCTCATTCAGATTGTAATATGTTCCTTGGGGACAAGGTATTGGCTCGAGAGCTGCTTCTGGACAAAAGTACCCATCAGGACACTTGATAGTATTCGTGTTATTCGCGATCGTTACGTTCCATAAGTCAGTAATTGCTGGTGAGAAACAAAGAACACCACTTCGGCATGGTAAACAAGACTCTGTTACGCGAGTGTCTAGCTCCCTGTAATAACCGGGTGGGCATGCTTGGCAAGTATCTTCTTCAGATTCTCTCTTTGACTCTTCAAGCTCAAAGTATCCGGAAGAACATCGGCAAGGCGAAGTATTATTTGCAGAAATACCCAGATCTTCCCCTGTAAATTTATCATAGCCACATTGCCCGTCTTCTGGACAATATGTTCCGGGAGGACAAGTTGTTGGGAACGCTGAACCTTCTGGGCAGTAATAGCCGGCTGGGCATTTTTCGATCTTGTTTGTTCTGTCACAGAAGTATCCTTCTGGACAAAGTGCTGGTTCGGTAGAATTAACATCTGCCACAGTTTCAGTTTCAACGCAATAAGAGCCTTCTGGGCATCCGAGCTGATAGTCCATGGCTTCATCGGGACAGAAGTATCCAGGAGGACAAGGAGTGCACTCCAATATATCTTCCGATGCCGTCTTTGCGAGGAAAAATCCTGGTAAACATGGTTCTTGAAAGTCCATGCTATCTGATCCTGTCTCATTAATGAAATAACCGGCTTGTGCTGGGAATCGCTTCGGCTCAGTCATTCCTTCATGCGGACAGGTGTGACCAACTGGACAAGGCTTACATGCACCAGCTTCAGATTTTCCTGATGTTTCGTCATTGTATGTACCTTCTGGGCAAGGAAAGAATTTTCCGTCTTCGCACCAGCCTCCTTTTCCGCACTCAGCTACTGTTTTGGCGCTTTCAGGACAATATTCACCATCCAGACAAGGTTTGCAATCAGCGTCACTTGGCTGACCGGTACCCTTGATAAATTCTCCGTCATCGCATATTTGAGTTTCGTTTGTGCCCTCAGGACAGTAGTACCCATCTGGGCAGATCTTGTCGGGATTGTCCTGATTTGGAGTTGACGAGCCCCCGTAGCACATCGTTCCGCCATAGCAATCTCCTTCGATAAAACCGTTGTTACAGTACTTTCCTGCTGGACAAGGCTTACAATCGCTTTGACGACCCATATTATTCGATTCATCATTGTATGTTCCTGGCTCACAAAAGGACGAAAATGAAGAAGAACTACAGAATTTACCAAGCGGACACTGCTCGGGGAAAGCAGTTCCTGCGACGTCGGCCATCGAGCCCGGAGGATTTGGAAGACAGTCTCCTTGGCCGGCAGCGGATTGATATCGAGTTTCTCGGCATTCTTGGTGTCTTCCAGCTTGGCAGGAGCTACCTGGGCGACAGATAAAGTTCATTGGATCTGGAACAGTAATGAGTGTATCATCAGTTACATTTTGTGGGTCGCAATAGAAGCCATCTTTGCATTTAAAGCTGTTCAATGGATATTCTAACGAATTCATCGATTTATACGGACAGTAGTTGCCAGCAGGGCAAGGGTCACAAGAATCCGCAGATTCAAGCAATTTTGCCTGACCATGGCGGCCTGGAGCACACGGTTTCGGAAGAACAGTTCCGGCTTCGCAATAATATCCTCTCGGGCATTCGCCATTGCCGTTTTGGTCAAATGATGGTTTTCCTGATGAAGCACCGCGCCTGCAGAAGTAACCACCCTCACAAATATCTATGTGATTTTCACCCTTGCAGAAGTGACCCGCTGGACACTGTTTACACTGGCTCGACTCATAAAGACCAGTGACATTGGAATAAAATCCAGGAGAACACGGGATCGGATTTTCAAGTCTAGCAGGACAATAATGACCGACTGGACAAACTTCAGGCTCGTGTGTTCCAAGTTCTTGGCAAAAATAACCTCTTGGACATGGCTTGCAGTCAGATTGAGCGTATTGATCTTGGTAATATCCACGAGCGCAGATGTCAAGCTGCTGTGCTGCTGATCGTTGATGACAACGGAATCCTTTCGGACATGGGAATCCAGTGTATCCAAGATCGTATGCTTTGTCGATACAAGCTTGTCCGTGAGAATATGTTTCATTCGTTCTGAGGCCGTCGCAATCAAAGGTAGGGCTGAATGGATCTGTGCTATTGTCATCATTTGGTGCTGGAAGATATGCTCCTTCAACACATACAAAGCCCTTCTCGCATCGTGTCTCAGTTATACTCTCAACATCACCAGAATCACCAAATCGGCAGTAATATCCAGCTGGGCAGGGCTTGCATTCATCAACTGAAACAGCTCCAGCTTTGCTTGATCTTGACGTTCCTCTTGGACATGGATGATAACCAGAAGATCCGGCCTCACAATAGGCACCTCCGGGACACTCTTCTTCGAATTTACTGATAGAACCAGCTGGACAGTAGTATCCTTCCTCGCAGAGTTTTTCAGTTGGATCGTCATTTGTCTTTCCGTCACCTGTAGAATGGCCTTCACTTGGACAGTAGTAGCCACCCCAGCAAGGTGTGCACTCAGTTGGATCAGTTGCACCAAGAACTCCGTTGTAACTTCCAGGTTCACACATGGTCTCGGAATAGTCGCCTGTCTCTGGAGGGCAATAGAAACCAGCTGGGCAAAGCGCAGGAACAACAACTCCAGTTTCACCTGAGCCATCATTGTTCACATAACAGTAAAAGCCAGCAGGGCATTTCTTACAGTTTGCCTGACCTCTTTGATCTTGATATACACCACCATCAGAGTCGCCGGCTTCGACGTTGCACGCAATTGGCATTTCACTACCTTCTGGGCACATAAATCCTTCGGGACAAACGAGTTGATTTCCTCGGTCGCTTCCAGCAGGGCAGTAATAACCAGCCAAACAAGGTTGCATAGTATCCGGAGTGTTTCCATATCCAGGACAGAAGAAACCCTCAGTACATTGTTCGCAGTCGCCTTCGTCTGAGAGACCTTCTTGGGGTCCATAATGACCCGGTGGACATAAAACTGGATGCGATGTTGCTGGTTCACAATAACTACCAATGGGACAGCTGATAGCGTCTGATGATACACGCATTCCAGTTGGGCAGAAAAGTCCTGGTGGACAGGGATTCTCTGTGAAATTTTCGATTCCTCCTTCAGAGCAGTCGTATCCAGCTGGGCAACGAATAGGAGAAGCACCAGCATTATCTTCTGGTAAGTTCGGACAATAGAATCCTTGAGGACATAGTTGCTCGATTGCAGATCCTTTTGGACAATAATGTCGCGCTGAGCAAAGGTTATCCGCTGTGACATCAGACATTCCTGAGTTAGGGCAGACGTATCCTCTTGGACACGGAAGGCAATCCAATTCTTTTGATATTCCATATGGTCGCGGATTATATGTTCCTGGCTCGCAAGGAATTTGGATGAGACCACCAGTGCAAATATATCCTGGTTCGCATGCGTAATCCTCAATATCAATGATACCAGAATCATTGCAAGCATATCCATCAGGACATTCGATACATTGACTTGCTTTTCCATGTGGCATGTAAGATCCTGGGTCACACGGAGTTTGCCTTGCACCGTCGCACCAATGTCCAGGCTCACACTCAGCTGATGATGAATCTGGAAGGCAGGCAGTAAAATTAGCGGTGTCAAATGGATATTCAGCAAAGCCACCACTGTTGCAAACAAAGCCACCAGCACAATCGCCAGTAGTTTCCCATGGCTCTGCACCGTCACAATATTTACCCAATGGGCATTCAAGGCATTCACTATTTCCTTCTCGAATTTTATATGTTCCTTTCGGGCACTTTTTGAGTGGTTCATCCTCGGATGCCATTTTGCAAGTAAAACCTTTGGGACAAGGAAGAGTTCCACCTTCGCGTGGATCACAGAACTTTCCATCTGGGCACTTTTGACAGTCGGGCTGACCGGTTTCCTTGTTATAAAATCCTGGTTTACAATCTTGTTCATCAGCAGACCCTTCTGGGCATTGCATTGTTCTCCCGCACTTATTTCTAGCTGATTTGCTTCCAGCTGGGCAATAGTATCCTTCTGTACATTCTTCACTCACGTCGGTTTGTCCGTCGGTCTCACAATAAAATCCAGGAGTACATTCTGTGCAAGAAGGATCGTCGTTGTATTCCGCGGCATTGTAGGAGCCCTTTTTGCATGGACACTTAGAATCAGAAGAGCTACCCTTTTCGCAATAATGACCTGCTTCACAAGGATTTTGATCAAAAGGAAGAGTTGGAAACGCTAACTCGAGGGGATCAAATGAACTTCCAAACTCATCAATAGCTCCATACAACCTTGTTAAACCTTGAATATCACAGTTGAATTTTGCTGCGCATTCAGTTGTAGCATTCGGTTTGATATCTATTCCAGTTTCACCGCAAAAGTGACCAGCCGAACATGGATAGCAATCGTCCTGGTTCTCAGCACCACGTCGATCTCGATAAGTTCCAAGAGGACATTTTATGGGATAAGTTATTTTTGAAACATCAGTATTATCACAGTATGTTCCGGGTTCACATCGACCTGTCAAAAGGAAGCCTCCAAGTTTAGTTGTTGATGGGTTTCTTTTCGTTGCACCAGAAATGCAGGTGTATCCATTCTGACAATCTTCCATGTCAACTATCGCAGCAATACCTCTATCAGGACAAGCTTTGCCATTTGGACATCTATCGCAGGAACTGACATTAACTTGCGCTTGAAGACCTAGCCAGGTCCCTTTCGGACACAATGTCTGTTTAGCATTAGCGCAGTAGCTACCTTGTGGACATGGATCTGCAAACGGATCAGTGAAGTTATTCACGCAGAGGAAACCATCAAGGCACATTTCGCATTCTGTCTGACCCTGTGATGGCTGGAAAGTGCCTTCAGAGCATTCTTCAGCTTCTGAACTATCGTCTGGACATTTTGATCCCGCAGGACATTGTTTGAAATCTGGTCGGTCCGCTTCTTTATCACAGTAGTATCCACCAAGACATGGGGTGTCGATATTGTTCAATGTGCCGCCGAGGCCAACTGCATCACAAACTTCATTTTCACATGGAGTGCACCCATCGATACTATCTTCAGATATGCCAAAGTTTGACGTGCCTCTATTACAGCTGATCGGATATCTGGAGATAGTCGCATTACAGAAATGACCCTCAGGACATGGAAGAATGTCAGATCCTATCTTGCATGCATCTCCTGGGCCACAGTCGACAGCATTAGTTCCATCACACTCATAACCTGGTGGACAAGCGGTAGGGAAACGAGATCCCAATGGGCAGAATGACCCAACAGAGCAGCTCTCTTTAGAAATATCCGTGTTCCCACCTGCACAATAGAAGCCGGCATCGCAATCAAGAGCATTGGAAGTATCGATTGCTCCTTCTTCAGGACAAATTTTACCAGCAGGACATGGGATGCAATCCTCAAGAGAACCTCCAGTCGTGTAGCTATTATAGGTTCCAGCAGGACAAAGAAGAGCTCCAGCGCTAGTACAATATTTTCCTTCTTCACAGTCTGTCACATTATCACCGCCATTACACTTGTAGCCTTTGTTACACGGAGAGCATTGAGTTGAACCGACTTCGATAGAAAATTGATTTTCTGGACATTCAAATGTAACTCCATTATTGCAAGCATTTCCTGCTGGGCAAGCTTCTTGAGCTTCAACTCTACTTCCCTCTGGGCAGTAGCTTCCATCGCCACAATTCTCCAGGTTATCTGTTCCTTGACCTGGGATGTTGCAATAAGACCCTTCAGGACATGGTTTGCAATCATCGGCTTGAGCTGCTCCTTGTGATGGGCCATATTTTCCAACAGGGCATAGATTTTGACCCCCAGGCGGATCTGAAATAGCACCATAACCAGGACAGTACTTTCCGTAAGGACATGTTTCTCTGATCGATTTTCTCTGCCCGTTCGAGTCAGCATCTGCGTAGAAGCAAGTAAAACCGCTTTCACAGGGATCACAACTTGCTTGCCCTGGTCCAGAATAATGAATAGGCTCACATTCCAAATAGATTGAACTTCCGACGGGACATCTGAAACCTGTCGGACATTGTCTTTCAGTTCCTCTTGACGATCCTTTTGGACAGTAGTATCCTGGATTGCATACATACGATGAGCTTATGTCTGAAAAACTAGCAAGAGGTGGATCCCCATCAACGCGTTGTGGGCAATAATATCCCTCTGGACAATCGTAGCATTCATCCGCTGATTTGAGTCCGAGACGATCAGTCCAAGTTCCTTCAGGACAATGCGCTTTTCCGACACCAGGCGCGCAGAAATATCCAGCTGGGCATCTCACAGTAGCATTCGCACAATCGTAGCCTGCCGGACACTGGCTATCAGCAGTCATTGCTTCATATGGACAATCTCCTGTACAATCGATGCAGTCATTTTCAGTTTTGGCACCTTGAGATGGATTATAGGTTCCCGGAGGACATGGTTTTCGTTGATTTCCATCTTCACAGAAGTATCCAGCGGGACAGATAGCGGCATCATCGATGTATCTACCGGATGGCTGAGCAGCATCACCAAGCTGTGTGCAGAAGTATCCAGGCTCACATTCATTGGTTGTATTGAGTATGCCGGTTCGATCGCAGAAGTAACCTTCTGGGCAAGTAAAACAGTCCTCTTCGGTGACGCCATATTTAAGATCTCTGTAATAGCCAAGATTTGAGCTTCCACAAGTATTTTCTTCGCCGTTCTGACAGTATTTGCCTTCATCACAAGGCTCTGGAATAATTTGCTGATTATCACACATGAAAGCATCGGGGCAATCAATGCACTCGCTAGATCCTTCAGTTGGAGAATACGTTTTAGCATCGCATGCTTCTTTTTCTCCGGTGTTACTGCAGAAACTTCCCGGCGGACAAATGATTGAAGTTGCTTCGTAATTCGGCTGAGAATCAGGACAGTAGTAGCCGTCATCACAGATGCTTGAAGAACTTTGAGTTGTGCCGACACCTGGACAATATCGTCCATTACCACAGTTTTTACAGGCGACTGACTCATCTGATTGATTGAACTGGTCATTATATGTTCCCATATTACACGGTTGCGGGTAGACTTCAGTGGAATTACAGAAATGACCTTGTGGGCAGTCGGACTCATTACTTGTTGGAGCACAATAAGACCCATCAGGACATGTTGTCGGAGTTGATGGGTCCAAGCACTCCATGCCAGGAGGACAAAGTAAAGGCAGTGTTGAATTAGCAGGGCAGAATTCTCCAGCTACACAAGGTGTTTCGGAATCTGCTCGGAAACAGCTCGTTCCAGCAGAACACATTTGAGGTAAGAAATTAGTTCCACCTTCACAATAATGACCTGGACGGCATTTTTCGCAGGCATTTCTTGATGTTCCACGATTATTATCATTGAACTCTCCAGGACTGCATTCTTTTGGAGGTCGTCCTCTTTCACAGTAACTGTTATCAGCGCATTCATTGAGGGTGATTTTATCATTACAAGAAAATCCTTTCGGACATGAGAAACAAGTGCTTGTTCCAGTGAAGGGACTGATGGTACCATCTCTGCAATCTGCTTCTGGCTGGCCGGATGAGCAATATTTTCCTTCTGCACAAATGTCTCCCTCTCCAATCCCAGGACAGGATGCGTCTGGAGCGGCATGATCTGATCCTGCGTTGCAATTATAACCAGCCTCGCAACGGGATGAGCTAGAAAGACCGATTGTGTTGCAGTATTTTCCAGCCTCACATGTTTTGCATGTAGCACTTGTAAGAGCACCTGATGCTGCATCGTGATATGTTCCTGGATCACAAGGAACAGGGTAAATATAATCAGGAAGAAGAGTTTGTTCGGCGCAGAACCAACCGTCATTGCAGTTTTCTGGGCTTGTTCGTCCAAGATCGGAAAATGGACAATCTTGGCCAATACCGCAAGCAATGCAACTATCCTTTCCAAAATCAGGTTGATAAGTACCTTCAGGACACGGTATGTACATTGACATTTCTTGTGTCGGACAGTAGTGACCTTCAGGACATTCGAATTGCTCTCCATCAATACAATAAAAGCCAGCTGGGCAAGATTGCAAGTCATTGTAATCGCTAAGTGGATCCGTGGTCCATTCACAAAGCTTTCCTGCTGGACACAGTTGACATTCTTCTTGACTGGTTAGTCGTTCTCTATCAGACCAAGTTCCTTGAGGACAAGGATTGATATCACCTCTGCTCTGCAACTCTAGACAGTAATAACCGGCTGGACAGGGTTCTTCTCGTGTTGATGTACTGTCTGCAGGACAATAATAACCAGCTTCACATGCCTTATCTGCAGCGGTGTTACCATATCCGGGACAGGCGTAGCCCTCTGTGCATGGGAGGCAGTCTGTGTCGGCATCTTTTCTTTCGAATTGATTATAAGTTCCCGGTTCACAAGCAACTGGATAAGGAGATCCTACAGGGCAATAATAGCCTTTGGGGCATTCATATTCGACGTTGGTTTGTTGAGATTGGCCGTCAGGACAGTAGTAACCAGCGGTGCATGCTGTTTTATGAGAAGCATCGATTTTGCCACTACCAGAACAAGCAAATCCGGCTGGGCATAAAACACATTCATCAGCGGACGCGAAGG